TCCAGAGCACAAGCAGAAGCGCTCTGCAGTCACTCAGTAAGATGAATGGATATGATCCATTTTAACAGAGAGGGATGAACAGATGTCTGCAAGTACCCACAGATGTAAAATTGCAAGCATGCAATTCTGAAATGGAAAGTAGATGGTGATATTATTTATGTAAGGAATTATCACACCCTTTCAAAAATACTCTTGCATAAAGCATAAACTAAAACATAAGCAATGAATGGTAGAGGGCAGAATGCTGGTCATCTCAGTGAGGACATTCAAGAGGAGTTAGAGGAGGGTCCTGCGGGGTTGTCTCTCTATATATTCATAATACTTTTTCTCAAAGTTGAGACTGTGAGATAAAGATGAGAAATGTCAATACTTCTTCCATCTTGGTGATTGGCATATAAGATTTATTGCATTCTCTATGTCACTCAATGAAGCACTGAACAGTTACAAATTTTGAAAGACTACTTTGTGGATGGCTGGTGTTTGAAGTGGACCTTTGCAAAGCTTTTCTGTAAAAGGCCACATAATGAATATTCTTTGACTTTGTGGACATCACAGTTACTGTCTTCACTATTCATTCTGCATAGTGTAAAGGTAAATGAGTGGGCGTGAGCATGTTCCAACACAAGCTTATTTACAAAACAGAGCCTCAAGTTTGGTTTGGCCCCATGGGCCATAGTTTGCCTCAGTTTGCAGTTGCCAGAGGGAGATAAGTGGTTTCAGGAACAAGAAACCCCAAGCAAAGGATGATCTTGGAGACCAAGGAAATCGGGATGTGCCTCAAGAGAGTTAGACAAGGAGCTAAACATTACCTTCCCAGTAGCAGACTCAAAATTAGAGATGAAGTTTGTTGAAGCTGTGGCTGTAGAAACCTATAAACAACAATCCCTGGTGGTTAACATAGTTGGGGGTCTGAGTTTGCATTGTTTTGCTGAGTTAGAGTCTGCCTCGTAGGGTAGTGGAGAGGTGGGTAGTGGAGAGGTTTATCTCAAATGGTTTCCTTCATCCTTCCCTGGTGCTCTGGAATCCCTAGGATACAGAAAATAACTGGGCCCCATTCTATTATCGACTCCCGCACAATCCAGTTCGTTCCTGCCCTGATGTCTATGATCCAGCAAGGTCACTCTGAGAGTGGGGCCTCCAGTTTGCCTGCATCTTTGGCTATTGCTCATCTGCTGAACCTTCTCTAGAAATCACAGGTTTCCTGCCATAGACCCTTCTTTGAAGAGCTGATAGAAGGGACTTGTTTTATCTTTGGCTGCCTAGTGGGTAGCCTGCTCGGGCTTCAAAGGTCAGGCCCAAGGGCATTCACTTAAGGGAAATACTTCCAATACCAGCTTTCTCTCTCTCTCTCTCTCTCTCTCTCTCTCTCTCTCTCTCTCTCTCTCTCTCTCTTAATACAGTCTACTTGGGCCAAGCTAGTCTGCTTAGGCCATCAGCATTTATAGTCCTGGCACACTTTGCAAATTGACAACATTGTCAGGCCAGAAAGATGGTTAATAAAACCAACAGGAGTTATTTATGAGTTTCTTCTGATACAAGCCAAACACAAGATGTGAGAGTTAAATGAAGTACCCTCGTGCTGGCATTGCTGGCAGCCGCAGCAACATTCCTGAGAGGTGGTTAAATGCCAGCCATTTCTCTGAATAGAAAAGGGGTTCAGGCATCACTGAAATGCTAAATGCAGGTCCCAGTTGGCCCTCTGACATGTGTGTGGGATAGATGATAAACCGAAGGCAGAGATGTGCACCTTCTCTCCAACTGTGACCCTTACAGAATTGCAAGCTGCCTCAAGTGCCCTTGAAGTAATAAGGACACCTCCCAGCAGTCATTGAAAGTAAACAGTTAAGCAACAGGCTTACCTGTTCTGGTACGGAGATGCCAGGTCCTTGGCCAACTTCTTATTGCTACATGGGAAGGAGAAATGAGATATTACACACACACACACACACACACACACACACACACACACACACAGAGAGAGAGAGAGAGAGAGAGAGAGAGAGTGTGTGTGTGTCTTGGAAAAGAGAAGGAGAGGAGAGTCAGACTTGGCCCCCATTGTGGAGATTTCATCAGTATCTTTCCCTTTCCTAAAAATTGGAAGTTTGCTTTACTTCCTCAGTTCTTGGGAGACACAGCTTCCAGGGATGGAGGCCAGATGTTTGCGTGCCCTTTTAAAGTGCTCAAAGAACGCCTGTTACTAATCACCACATTGAACATTGTTCACACGAAGACTTTCTGCCCCGAATCGATCTGGGCATGTCTTAGCTCTCTTCTCTCTGACAACGGTGAGAAGTTGCTGAAGGAGAAAGCATGCTGTTTAAGCCTATCAAGAGTCCAGGATAAGCTGATGTTGAAGTTAGGAGCAAAGGACCAGGCTGGCCATAAATCTTTCCTGGCTGAGACTTGAAAATTTTTGGTTTTGTTTACTTAGAATGTTAATAATTTTGGAAATTATTAAAATAGAACCAAAATACTCTCCTTTTAAGAGGCTATGGGGATCACAAACCACTCCACAGATACAATATGCTGAGCAAATCCAAGTCTCAACTCTTGCCATGGGTCTGCTGGGAATGTGGCCATTCTCATATGACACTTCATGTGTGGAACCAAGGAGGCCCTTAAAAGAAATTTGGACTTAAAATTTTAATAATTGTGGTGTACAAATGTTTTTATAACAGGAAAGAGCAAATCCTTTCCCTGTCTCTCGGGTCTTCAATGTTTCTTCCTGTTGGTCAGTGCCATCCACATTCTCTAACATTAGCCAGTGTTTCTGGTAGAACCATCACTGGGGCAATTTTTTCTAATACCCTACCTTATCTTTTGAGAAAAGATCTCACTGAACCTGGGGCTCATTGATTAGCTAGATTTGCTAGCCAGGAAGCCCTGGTTCCCCCTTCTCTGCCTTCTAGCCTGGAATCACAGGTATGTACCTTCATGTCAGGCTTTTCTTTTCTCTGTTTCTGGGGAATCTAACCCCTAGTCTTCCTGATTTCACAGGAAGCCCCTTCCCCACTAAGCCATCTCCTCTGCCCATGCTTTGCAGAGGTTGAGAGACACCAAATTACCTAGGCTCTTCCTACTCCTTTTCCAAGCACGGTAGTTACATTTTCCTCATACCTTCACATCCTCTGTGACCATTAGTTAGCTTTCCTTTACTGAAACAGAATACCTCAACTGAATAAGATAAAAGGTCTGTTTTGGCTCACAGTTTTGAAGGTTTTAGTCTATGGAGAAATGCCAGATCAAGGGAGGGATGTGTGGCAGAGAAAGCTGCTCACATCATCACAGCCCAAAAATAAAAGTTTGGAACTGAAGTTCTGCCTTTGTATGTGTATGGCTTCTGATCTGGATGGGGGATGGGGGTCCTCTGGGGTTCTGATGCTGGTATGGAGTCGGCATGGGACCAACCTAGGCCCTCTGCATATATCTGGCAGTTGTGTAGCTTGGTCTTCTGTAGGACTCCTAACGGTGTTAGCAGGGGCTCTCTCTGATTTTTTTTTTTTTTTTGCTGGATTTTGGAACCCTATTTCTCATACTGGATTACCTTGCCTGCCTTAATTAATATTAGTCTTATTGCAACTTGATATGCCATGTTTTATTGATATCAATAAATTAATTGGGGGGGGCGGAGAAGAGGAGGAGACCCCAGTCTCACACTCTATTTCGAGGGCATACCCACAATGACTTAAAGGCCTCCTACTAGATTTACCTCTTAAAGGACCCTCCACATGCAAACTCTGGGGCACTCACATGGAATCTGGGGGATGTTTAGCTGCAAAACTGTAACAGAAAAATAAACCCTGGCATTGAAAAAACTTCTGATAGTGTTTAAGCTAGGATCAGTTCTCCAGAAATACCTGATGACAGAAGGAATCATTTTTGGGATGATGTACAAAGCCACTTTTCACTTATACCTGGACTACTAACAGTGATACACACTGTGATTTAGCACAGGCATTTTAACAAAACTTTACAAGAGTTAGTTATATTCATGGGAGCCTAGATTACAGAACTGGGATGTCTAGATTCAAGTGTTTTGGCAAGTTGGGTAGCCTTTCCAAGCCTGTTTCCTCATCCATGAAATTGGGAAAGCAGTCATACCTATTTAGTGCAACTCTGATTATTAATTTCATTTACATGTAAAAGGAAACAGAAACCTTCTGATATAACTTGGGAACAAATCAATTGCAGTTATTCTAATATTAAATTACCTCCTAAGCTTAGAATTTGAAGAATGCAATCTGGGACCAAGGCCTCAGTTTACTTTGTTGAAAAGTAGGCACTCGATGGTAGGTAGAGCCTAAGGCTGATTCAAGACTCAAATAAGCTGTGAGGAGACTTCAATGTCAAGTAGTTAAGCCAGCATTAACCCATAATGTGCACACCTGTATGGTGGTCAATGCTCGGTGCAGTTATTGCTACTAAATGCATCTTGGCTTTGGGCTACATCAGCACTACTGGCTTTAATTTTTCTGAAATCATTCAACTTACTATTGCATAGACGATATTTTTCTTCCTGTTGTGACAAAATACTCGGCTTAGCCATCTTTTAATGGAGGAAGGGTATATTTTGGCTTACAGTGTAAGAAGGGATATTGCCTGCCTCTACAGGGAATGTATTGTAGCAGGGAGTTGAGTGGGACTCTTCAGCAGTGAGGAAGGAAATAGCAGACAGAAAAGAGCATCAGCTATCCCCTAGTGACTCACTTCCAATCAGCGAGGCCTTACAGCTAGGACCTAAGTATTCAAACAACAAGAGCTATGAAGAGATGCTTCCCATTCAAATCACAGCTCGGCCTTCTCCTAACAGTGCTACAAGGTACTTGCTGTTGGGTACAGTGTGTCATAGTCACAGCTGACTCCCGTGGTACTGTTTAATCATGTCAGACAGACTTCCAGGTCTCTGAGCATCATAAATACTAAATACTAAAAGTCATAAATACTAAAAGGAAAGATGGTCACTACATAACCCTTCTCAACCAACTGTTTTCTCTTGGCAGGATGTTCTGGAAGCTCTCGCTGACCTTGCTCTTAGTGGCTGTGCTGGTAAAGGTAGCTGAAGCTCGGAAGAACCGGCCTGCGGGCGCCATCCCGTCACCATACAAGGATGGCAGCAGCAACAACTCAGAGAGATGGCATCACCAGATCAAAGAGGTGCTGGCCTCCAGCCAGGAGGCCCTCGTGGTCACCGAGCGCAAGTACCTCAAGAGTGACTGGTGCAAGACACAGCCACTGAGGCAGACCGTGAGCGAGGAGGGGTGCCGCAGTCGCACTATCCTCAACCGCTTCTGCTACGGCCAGTGCAATTCCTTTTACATCCCGCGGCACGTGAAGAAGGAGGAGGACTCCTTCCAGTCCTGCGCCTTCTGCAAACCCCAACGTGTCACCTCAGTCATCGTGGAGCTCGAATGCCCTGGGCTCGACCCCCCTTTCCGAATCAAGAAAATCCAGAAGGTGAAGCACTGCCGGTGCATGTCTGTGAACCTGAGTGACTCTGACAAGCAGTGAAGTCACCAGAGCAAGACACAGCTCAACCCTGAGCGCCCTTGCCCCTGGGTCGCACCACCTCCACTTCTGTCGAGCCTACTACTCACACTCTGCTCGGTGTCCCTGTCAGCAGCAAATGCATCTCTTAGGGCTACCAGTGTCCTTGTCACAAATGTGGACCGCAAGTCATCATGTCCCAGATCCACCCTGGGCCACACTCGTGTCTCCAAATCCAGGCTGTGGATCAGGCACAGAAGTTGTTGGAAAACACTCTCAGAAACCAGACAGGACTTTTCAGGCGATGCGCTGTCAAAAAAGGCATTGACATTTCCACCATGTGGAAAAGCCAGTGTTTCTCTGGCCACATCCTACACTCCAGCTCAACCCTCCTCTGGTGAAGAATGCACCACTCTTCTTTCACAAACTTCTGTTAGCCACCAGACCTCTGTGGTGTGGGCATTCATTCTTCTGATCCGGGAGCTGCAGGGCTCAGTGGCCTCTGTGATGTCGACTGGGGCAGAGTCCATAACGGAGTTGCTCACCCTCAAGGGGTCTCCAAAGCAAACCTGATTCCTACGAGGACAAGGAGAGTAGAGTGGATCAGGAAATGACTTCCCTAGGAACCGTGCTAAGCAGGCCAGACCCTCCACACCTCTAGACACCACCACCCCTTTTCTTGCTCCTCGTAGCCCCCAACTGTGGACTCAAGATGGACTCTGGTGCACATGCTATTCCTTCTGCCATCAGTCTGTTACCATACAAAGGGTTTCTGTATTAATGTCACTTTTATAATGGATCTATTGTGTAAAAATCTGTTAAAAAGTATTATCAACCTATTCATGTATCCACTCACATGTTGGGACTCTGATTTTGCAGCACCATCTGAATAAGGAGTAGAACAGGGAATGATCTGTAGAAAAGGTATTTTACCAGGAAATACTGCCAGGCTAGCAATTCAGCGCCACACACCTGTTATCAGGTTGAGAGTGGAGGAGGAACAACACCTCATGATTTTACTTTGAATATGACATCACCGGAGACACAAAAACATTGCAGCATAGTGTAAAAATTGGATTGGGACAGAGCATCTACAGAGGAATCGCTGGGAAGTTGTAATGCTTGATGCACACATGTGAAATGAGACCTTGTACTGTCTTCACTGCCATAACACTAAGCAAAAAGTATTTTCTATTAAAAGTCATTTAAAAAAATATATGGAATTGAGACACTTTGTGGCACAGGCAGAAATATAAATTAACCATAGAGGGTAGTAATGTAGGTGAACTTTCACTCAGAAAATAGCATTCTTTGCAAAGAATAGACTTCTAAAAATACTAGAAAACTTAAGTCACCCTTTGTGATGAGTGTGGAAGTCTCTATAGTGTGGTCTTTTGATAGGAGGATATGAAAGAATCTTTTTTCCTTCAAAATTACACTCAAGTTCAACCTCCTTGTACAAGTGTCCCTGTGAAGGACATGTATGGAATCTAACAAATGTGAATGAGAAGCCATTGGTGGGGAGCAGAATGCATTAATATCCTTTGGTTGGTAATTTCCTAGTGCATGCTCATACCCAAGAGTGGGTTTCCTCGTGTGCGAGAGACTGTCAAACTCAGACTTCTAGATGCTCAGTAGTGGTACTGGCTCTCTAGCTTGTCACCTGGAGAAGAGGACTGGGGTGAGCTGGGGTGGGATGTATCAGTGACTCTCTTGCCTGTGTTGTCATGCAAGTTTTCTAGTTTACTTACATCTGCAACACAGCAAACCCCAAGCATAGATGTTGTGGTTTTGAAGGGGGTATTAGCTTCAGAAATGAGAGTGCACAGCCTGGAATCTGGAGAGAGAAGCAAGAAGAATGGAGAAATTGCCGAGGGCTGGGACCCCTAGGATGAAGACAAAAAGTGAAGTGGGTGCTGAAGGTCAGAGCTACAATTTTCACGTTTAGTAGACAAACCTCAAGCTAGAGCCATAGCAGAGCATGCAGCAGACAAGCTGTGAAAGACATCTAAGTTTCCTTAATGGAGGATGATTAGTACAACCAGAGAGGAGGAGAGTCTCACACCCAGCTGCAAAGCCCACCCATATCACATTCGTAGCAGGACCCACACGAGTAGAGGAAGAGTTTAGCTAGCAACCCACAAAGTACACATGTTGACACTTTTTTTGAACCCAGTCATGGGTGTTCCCATGAAAGCAATATGATATGCTGTGGTCTGAGGCTACTTCTTGGGTTATTGTATGTATAATGTTTACCTTCGAGTGGCTCAAATTGTATTTAAATTTTGTCTTGTTTATAAATGAAGAAAAGCTATAAGTATAATGTAATTATTTTATAGGTATACTATTAAGTTATAGTACAAATAAAGATACTCTAGGATTATATATGATCCGGGTGTCATGTGGCCATAAAAGCCGAATTCTGCATTTGTGTTCTTGGGTCACCAGGGTTCTTGATGAACTCAGAGTGCATTATCCAGCCTTTGGGAGTGGTCCATGTCACAAACTGTCCTTGGGGACTTGGGATCTTCTAGGAGAACCAGAAACAAGCATTGAAAAACAAGTATTGGTGGGGAAGACTTGCAGTCCAAGTCTATAGGTGCTTCTAGCCTTTCCCAAATCAGCCACCAGCTGAATAAAGAATGTAATCACAGTGTTCCTGGAATATGAAATATTGAATGCGGAAACTTTGAGACACTTATGCTACAGAAGTCCACCGAAAGTCTCATTGTCTCTCTTGTAGCCAGTGCACCACACTCGTGTCTTACATAATCCAGAAACTGTACTGAGTTTTGCTTCCTTTTACATTGACTTTCCACGGATTTCAACATTTCTTAATTTAAACACGACTCAGTTCACAGTGTTGTCATTTTCCTGCAAGTTGAATTATCTGCCATTTAAGAAATGCAATGATCAATAAAACATAAAAATCTTAATAAAGTTTTGTATGTGTGATTCACTATACAGACTTTTTGATTTAAACTCAATGTGACAATAATTCACCTTAGTTTATTAAACAAGGGTATTCCACTTCAATCCATGACATTAAAAGTGATTTGTTTGTAGTGCTGGCTGGCTGACTTTTAGGTTGTAAGGTCAATGAAAAGGAACTATTGATACTGAGAGAACAACTCAAGAGTGTAAGACTAGAAAATTTACTTAGTGATTGGTTGATTGATCTATTGCCATTGATTATTGTTTGCATGGGAGATAAGAGCAGATCTTAAGTAAATCATCTAAAGCTTCTTTGACTCAGCAGCCTCAGGACCCCATCACTTCTGTGATTCGTTCCCTGGGTACCACAGCATCTTCTCTGTGTTCTCCTTTCATTCCCCTGTGTTGTGTGACTTTTCCTGGAGAGATGTGAACATCTGTTAATCTCCAATTGAATTTTGACATCAGATCAAAGAAAACCATTCTATTCCTGTCTAACCTGAGTTTGTTTTGAAAGGAGCATGGGTGAGCAGTTACTTAGAAGAGAATGGACAACTCTTCCCATAGATGCATCACTGAATACCACACTCCAATATAGGTGACAGGTCAGAAAGTGATATTTTGGGGGCTACCTGCTTAATGTGCACACACCTCCACTGAAGAGTCTCCTAAGCTCCTGCAATTGTTTGCTGCCCATATCTTGGAGAGAGATCTCGTGTGTCTTGCAGCTATCTGAGCTCCCCTTCCGGAGTCTCCTACTTTATAGATTCCAAGTTTCATGATAGGGGTAGGAGCCCTTGCCTTCCTGAAAGCTGCTGCCCACTTGAGGCAGGGCTCTGACAAGAAGGCCAGAGAACAACAGAAACAAACAAACAAGTACTTCTTGTTGAATAAAAGCCCACAGTGAACAAAATTGACAACTTTGACTATAGGAAGCATCAGGCAATGGCCTGCAAGGATCACAATAGTACCTAGAATAGATAAACTTGTTTTGACAGCTCTTCCTTACTTGGTCCCACTTTTCACCTTATTCACATACTCAAACTCAGCCAATAAGCACCCACCTGGTTCTGAGTAAATTTGGCTGTCTAATGTTTCAGTGTGAAGAAAACACTGAGAGCTGACAGAGGAAGAAGAGAAAGGATGCAGATGACTTTCAAGACTTGCCAGAGATGGACAAGGCTTCCACCTGAGTCTTCGCACAGCCAGTAGTTTGATTGAGCCAGCTTTCAGGACTTGATCAATACTTGCAAGTAGCAGATTCATCCCTGCCTCAGTACCCACAACCCCATGCTTCTGCAGCTGCTTCTGATCTTTGGGACCTTTCCAGGACAGAAGACCCATCCACACTGCTGCTTTCTGCATACTTGCTCTGCAAGGCACAGCCCTCCTGTGACATCTTCTCAGAGCTGTGGCAGCTCTTAGCTAGCATCTTGCTGCTATTGAGTTCAAACCTGTTCTATTGAAATTATCCAAAGCAAGTGACAATCTGTTCAAAGTTATCTAACCTGTTTAATCTGAGTGATTAATATAGCAGCTCCCATTTGAACATACCTTGCTGGTTGCCCACTTCATTTTTGGAGGGAGGACATTACAAGCACCCAGTTTGAAACAGTTGAGAAGGTCTCAACTGACAATCATAAACTTTCATCATAACCTTTCTTTTCTCCAGGAGGTAATTTTCAATTCATAGGAAATTAATACACAGCTCCCTAGCTGCTCAGATACTTTAAAGTAGGAATGAAAGCAAACCAACAAACAGGTCTTCCTGATTTAGTGGAATTTGAGAGTATGAGATTCCCCACTGCATGGGCCCACATATTCCTTCCCCAATTTTTTAGACCTATGAGGGCTTTCACCCAGGCACAGGATTCTTCCAAGGGCCACGGAAGCAAAGTTCCCTGAACATGTATTTCTCATACAGCCAAGACCTCCCTTTGAGTGTAGTAAAGTAGGAATTAATGAGATGTTGCCAAAGAGATCCTGTTTATGATCATCACATTTTGCCTAAATTAATAATTAATCATCCTGTGTCTTTTATTATCTCTTCAACAAATAAATGTCATTTGAAATAGGTATCCACTCCTAGAGTCCCTGTGTCCACTCTGTCCCTCATAACTTTTAAGACCAGCCAGTGAGTCCCTCCACCAGTTATCAGTGCTAGCTTACCCAAGGGACCACTCAGCAGTGTACATTCCTACATGCCTATCACTATCTTGCCAACTACTGACAATTGGTCCATTTCCAAATTACTTGTTGTTCTGTCCTTTCTTGGGCCACCCAATTTGGTTAGATTGGTTCCTCCAACTTTGGGACAAGGGTTCTGAATGGCTTTATTAGGGATTCTCAAAGCACATGAATCTTTGTGGAAGTAGAGGAAATCAGACTGTGCACTGGGAAAAGCTATCTGCTTCCAGATGAGGCCTTGTCTGATTCTTTGGAGAGAGTTCTGGGACTGGGATGGTATTTCAGTGTTGTCCTAATTGAAAGGAGGCCTTTGTAATCCACATTACCCAATCACTACAACAGGGCATCCCTAGAAGGAAGTAGACATTACCTTACACTCTGGAAACCCCCTGAGGAGGATGAATCTGGCTATGAACTATTGAACAGTGATACTTTCACTGAGGTCAGATTTGGGTGAGGTGAGATGGTCCTTTATCCCTGAAGAATCTGGGCAGAAAGTACCACAATGGTCATCCTAGAAAGTGTTAGAACAAGGCATGGGGGAAGGGGGTGTGGGCAGGGACAGAAGATAAAGGAATCATAGAAGCCATTGAGAGAGACAGGCATGAAAACTCTCCTTGCTCTTACAGGAAGTAGATTTCTGACAGATTGGCCTAGGTTTTAGTCACAATATGCAGAACAATTTTGAAGGAATGTAACCCTGATCCAGATTGGCCAATCCAGAGTTGTTATGAGAACATAGACTGGTAATTTGGGGCCAGACTTGATTAGAGAATTGTATCTGAAAGAAGGAAGTAGCTGCAGAGGATGCTTGGTGACTCTGGTGGTGAGAAGTCTATCGGAGCACGAGATGGTCCCAAAGCCCCAGTGTCGGCAGATGATGCTGTGGCCTTCTGGGACTATTGACTCTACAGTGAGAAAGAAATGACATAAAGGAATTTTCTCCCCATTTGAAGAAATACAACTGTGATTTGAACTAAAAGCCAGATATGGGAAAAGATGTGGAAGTAGAAAGGTCATGACCAAGTCTACAAACTTAGATAAGACTTCTAACAGAGCTTAACGGCTGGGGGAGACAAAGTAACCATGGAAAATGCCTCTTTCAATGATGAGGGAGAAGGAATCAGAGGAAATGAGTAACATTCCTCAGGAAGGGCTGCCTATATGAGGCCGGATGTAAACAGCGACCCTTCCCCTCAGTAACTCCCCTCTCACAGTGTTTCTGGTTTCCATGCATAGCTGCTGTCACAGAAAATTCCAGCTCTTCATTTTCCTAGTGGTGATTACCTATTCTTTTCCCTAAGCTCCCTGTGTATGTATGTGTGTGTGTGTGCGTGCACATAAGTGTGTGTGTACACATGTATGCATGCGTGTGTGAATGAGTATGTGTGTGTACACGAGTATGCATGCATGTGTACATGAGTATACATGTGTACATGGGTGTGCATGAGTATATGTATGTACACATGTGTGCATGAGTATGTGTGTGCACCCGTGTGGTATATGTGTGAGTTCTCACATGCACAGTTGGAGTTGTTTCTCTCCTTCCACCTCTAGGGATCTAGGAATGGGAATTAGGTTATCAGGCTTGGTAGCATGCACCTTTACCTACTGAGTCATTTCAAAGGCCCAAAAGAATTTTCTTAATCTCCCTTGGGCAGGACATTTGACAGGGTTGCTATAGTGACATGGACCACCATAAATGACCTCCAATGTATTTTCCCCTTGGTTAAACATAATGGACCAGATAGATGTGCTTGATATTGGAAATGAGATAAATTCCAAAAAATTAATTATAAAACACATCAGTATTCATTTATTCTCCAAATTGTGCCAAATCCAAAAGAATCAAAGGAATAACTGAAACCAAAGCAAAACAAAAACCTCTTTATTTTTTTCTTTTAAGTATCAGCTTTGACCTTGCAGAAGCCAGTATTGCCTCCAGAAACTCTACATAGCTGAATTCAAATTGCCCTACTGGTATTTTATTTGGATTGTATGGAATCTACAGATTTCTTTAAGGAGCACTGACATAATCTGGTCCTTTCCACTTTTTTCTTTGGTAGCTCTCTTAATTGTTTCTATACAGATCTTATATATAGTTGTCTTATTTTTGGTTGCTTCTTTAGGTGGTGTGGAACTAGCACTCAGGGCCTCATGGTGTGGTAACATGTGCTCTGTCATTGAGCTGACCCCATTCCCCAGCTGCTGGTTGCCTTTGTGAGTGGTGGATTTCTCTCATAATATCTTCTCACTAAATGCTGTGTTAGCAGACAAATGTTATTGCTGTGTGTGGTTAGATTTTGGCCTAGTGAGTTTATGACATGCTATTGTTACCCTTAATGGTTACTTCCTGTTTCCTGCACATGTATTCTGCTGGATAACAAATAAAAATTACTCCATACCTTACAATTATACATCTTTTATTTTTTCCCCCCATTACCAGAACAGGGATAAATAGTATCAGAAAGGTGGACATAACAATCTTGTTCCACATCCATCCTAGGATACTTATATTTGCTCTTCACAGTACAAGGCCTAGGGCCTTATGCATACTAGGTGGAAGTGCCTCCTGCAGCAGATGGGAACAAGTACAGTGACCCACTCCAGGCATTGTGCAGAGATTAAGAGGGCAAGGGGAGGAGAAGAAGAGAGGGAGAGACAGAGAGAGACAGAATTCAATGACTCTTAATAGCCACCCTCATCTGCATACCAAAACCACTGATTGCCTCACAAGAAGAGCTTGTATGCATTAAGAAATGTAGCTTCCCTCCAAAAGAGAAGGTCTCCAGGGCCATCCTCTCTTCATCTCCTCCCAGCCACACACCAGAAGACTCCTCACGCATTTTCTGGTTTGGGTTTTTGATTCCTTTAATTTGAATCAATTTTTGCTCTGTCTTGCTTCAGGATGATTGCTTAGAGAAGAAAGAGTACAGGACCCACCTCCATAGCATTTTAAATCATGACAGTTCTTTTTTCTTTTGCTTGCAGTGTAAGTGAAGATGCATTTCACAAAAAAGAAAAAGAAAATCACATCCCACCCCCAGCGTCTGAGTTCACTGGCTAGTTGGAAGGTGGAAGCAATAAAGGCAAAGGGAATAACTTGGGCAATGTATATAATACATGCATTGGCCTTTAAGAGCCAGTTACAGTCTCTCACTAGCCCCAATTCTCCCATCTACTATCTATACCTTTTTAAGACTACAGTTTGTTATTTTTAAATAAGCTTTTGCCTCCTCTTTTAGTATTTCTATTTTTGTGACAAATATCCTCAAAATGTTGTTTGCATTTTGCAACAAATTCTAAACACATTCAGCATTCCTGTCTGCTTTCCGTTCTTTGTTTTAAAGCTCATGTAGCATACACTTTCTATGTGTCTGTTGCTCCCAAGGCAGACAGCAGTTTCTGCATGCATATTAACAACCCAGAATTTATTGAATTACACAAAGAGAATAAGGCAAAATTTTTAGCATGTTTGAATTTGTTTCTTAAAATTTCCCAGACATCTTATTATTAATCTTTTATAAACACAAAAATGACTTGTTATTGTTTACAGTCTGGAATTGATTTACTGCACGAATTTCTGTGCCCTCTGTAACCTCTGACGTTCAAGTCCTTTGCTTTCCTTGCTGGCATGTGCCCTTGAACAGACTTTCCTGTGAGGTTTTTGGAGAGTAAACTCTTGGTTTTCAGATTCTGAATACATTTATCTTGTTTGTTGACAGTCTCGACTTGCTGTTTTCAAGATAGCTCTTTAACTACTTTATTCTTGCTGTTGTTGGTGATGCATTTTTTAAGGCCAATTTTATTGGCATTTATTTGGTCTGGAACTTGTATTCTCAAGCAAAGAACATGCCATTCTGTTATTCTAGAAAATTCAGCCATTGTTTCTTGAAGTAATTATCTGGCTTTCCTGAACCTTTCTCCATTTTATTCTTATGGGGTCCTGGGGTCCTCCTTAAGTCTCTGTGTCTCCCATGTAGCATGTATCTTCTGATGTCTCTTGGGACACTACCAGCTTTTTTTTTTGGGGGGGGTGGGTCATAATGCCAGTGAATTCCTCAGCATCACTGTTGTGCTAACTAGTTGTCACTTCAGTTATTTCCTTCTAGAATTCATTCAGCTCATGGAATTTTTTTTCTTTTATATCCTAATGATTAGCTACTTCACATTTCTTCATGGACACTCCACATAACTGTTGCTTGATTTTGTCAGCAGATCTAATCTTCCTCATGAACACTTGCCTTGTATGCTTAGGGAGTATGGCTTGTCTGAGAGGATTTAAAGATAGTGTTTCCTCTCCTGTGTTTTGGTGTAGTTATTGACATGATGATCAGTCATTCTGATGCAGATACAGTCTTTCGTGGTGTCACTGGGTGTCTTCATGGTGGTGACACCGAAGATACTGTGCTAGAAATGTTGCCCAGTTTGGTCTGCTTTCTCCTGCAATCAAACATGTGATGTCAGCAATATCCTAAGGCATCCAGGGTAGCTATGTGCAGAGAAGCTTGCATCAGTGGCCCTGGGCTTTGGCTTGGTACAATTGGGCATGACTATTCCCTGTTACCTTGTACAGAGAATCATCAGTTCATGTACCATCCTTGGCTGCCCTGACCCTGGTTCCCCTCTCCCATCCATGCCGATACTTTACAAAAGACATTTGATCTTTTTGGAAATATTTAGAAATTCAGAACTCTAAACTCACAGCTTTGTGTTTTTTAAACTATAAAAAAATGCTTCCACACTTACACCTAATTTACTGCCTTATTTATAAGGATTGGCTTTGGGTCTCTTCTTTTTACATTCTCTGTCACCTCATATAAAATTTATAATGCATTTGTGGTGGTCCAAGAGATAGCTACTATATCATGTTAGGTATAGATATGAAGCATAGAAGAAGTTGACAAGGTGCGGACTTGTCATGGCTATTCTTTGTTTTCAACTTGAATACATTGTGGAATTAAGTAAAATTTCAATACTCAAATCAATGTCAGTGGAGCCTGATATATATTTATTCTATAAGTTTTATAATTTCTGTTTCTCTAGATAACCCAGACTAATACACTAATATCATCCTCATTCCCTACTACTACCCTCCAAAACAAGACTTCTTTCAGTCCTCCATTTGTATGTATTCTGAAGCTTGTGGCATAGTTAACACTATTCCATTATTTAACAAATATTTATTAATGTCTGTAACATTCTAGAAGCCAGGGAGACCAGTATCAAGTGGCTGGATAAATAGTATAATGGTTCAAGGTGAAGGAAAACATGGAGAAATATGTAGAGTAGATGTGTTAATCCATTTTTCTGTTGCTATAACAGAATATCACAGACTAGGTAATATTCATAAGAAATACAAGTTTCTATCAATAGGTCAAGAGCCTGGGAAAACCAGGATCAATGGAGTACCTCTGGTGAGGGCCTACTGCTTTATCTGACCATTGCAGAATGAATTGCAATGTGCCACAGTCACATTTTGGATAATGTGAAATGACATATTTTGATGCATGTGATTATATCTGAATAAGAATAACTAAAAAGGAGAAAATCAGATAAAAACAAGCCATCATCCCTTGTTTTTATTCATGAATGTAGAAGAAATATGACAAGTTGCCTTATTATGCTCTATTCCCAATGACTGTATCACCTTTAACTGAAAGACAAAACAAACACTTGTCAGTTGCTTTTCTGGTGTAACTCTATCAAGGCAAAGAGGAAAAGAATTAACTAATATGGCTATCAAGGTAATTCTCCAGTTTTTAAACTAAGAATCCTGGAAAAGAGGAAGGAAAGTGGATACCTCTTCAAAGCAGGAACAATTAATAGTGCTGGCAGTTGAGTCTATGAGAACCTCAAGGGAGAGGCAGATATAAAGGATGCTTCCTGTTTCTGAAAATGGAGGCTCTGTTCCCTGAGATGGATAACACAGAAGAATGAGGAGTTTGGAGGGACAAGAAGACAAACTGAGTCTGGTCTTGCATATAATACATTTACAGTACAGTATCCAGTTGAAAATAGATACTAGAAAACAAGGTGGTTCTTCAGAGCTCAGAAAAAAAAAATGCGTGAAAAGAGTCAATATTTTATCAGGATTCCTTACTCTATCAAGATAGACTTAAGTTTCAGAATCCCAAAATCAATGATTCTCATGCACTTTGCTTATGTGAATGTTTAGACTAACTTATTCCCCACCCCTCTTCCCTGTAAAATTTGAACATGATGTCTATATTTTCTAAGTATACACATAGGATATACACACAAGTGACACAGAAATATTTTATTATTCATTTTATTTTCATATAAATTAACATCCTAAAAAATTGAAATAGAAACACTAAAATACAATATTGCACATAGCGATCTTTGTTAAATGCCCTATTACTTCATTGAAGAGTGGTAATATACACATTGGAAGAACTGAGGGACAGGAGAACTACAAAACAACAACAGAAGAAAAGAAAACACTACAGCTCCTTTGTACTTCAAACACAAAGTAAAAGAAAAGAGGTCATATTTTCTATAAATACATGTATAGCTATGATTTAGAACATAATTTATCTTTTTAAGTTGCTGTCCATAACTGGTTTGCAATAGCAATAATTTCCCCCTTTATATAACCATAACTTTTAACCAATATTATTAGCAGCAATTTAAAAGAACAACTATTACTGTTATATAAAACCTCCTTAATGCATAATGAGCTGACTTTAAAATATCCTCAGAAAGAATGGGGAACTTACAATTTTCCCTGATGGTAGAGTGAGTAAAATCCTTCCACAGAACCCTCTAGATTCAGGATGAAAGCATCTTACGGCACAGCTTTAAATCACTTGCTGTAATACATGGTCACAACCCAATATTGTCAAAATACTCAGCCAGGTATTTTACTTAACAAGGTCCAGATAGATCCAATCCTTCTATATTTTTTTATGATAGTCATCAAAAATAAATCTCAATTTCATAAGCTTCACTTATTCAAAGCTCTTGAAAATATTAAATAACTTGTGTGTGTGTGTGTGTGTGTGTAGTATCATAGTGTAATATACAAAGGAATGTCTTTTGATTTCATTTACCTCTGCTGCAGAGCAGGCTTTCATATGGTCTAATGGGACAGAGTATAGAGAGCAACTTAAGAATGGGAAAGCATCAGTCATGACATATAGATACAACTTACTTCTCAAAATAGAAAATGTGTAAGTAGAAGTGAAGTAGATACAAAGAATTCACCAGGGATAACTTTATCCACAAATGTAGTCACATCAGTGTGGAATTCTGGTTGTCAGTAGAAAGGAAGATATTTTGGTTGTGACAAGGGAGAGAATCTCACAAAAGGAAACTGCAGGATAAAATTTAGCATGTTCAGAGTTAGTATGATAGTGCTTCTTAGTCCTGCCACTTCAGTCTCTTGGGATAACACCAGGACATTTACAAAAAGTAAAGGGTACCAATTTGCCACAGATCTACTGCTTTTTCAAATTTAAAATAACATACAGGAAAATTCAACAATCAACCAACTTCCTAGAAAACCTGGAAGATTATGCGAGAGGTTCAGAGGAAAAATGATCAGAATGTTGGTGTAGCTTTCTTCCCTCCTCAGGTCAGGCAGATGCTAATGGAAGATGTTTTGATGACTTGTTTTGTTCTGTTAGTCACAGCTCAGGTTTTCATGCTTATCTTTGCTTTCTGAAAACAAATATACCAGGTAGGGTTAAAAAAAATAAAAAAAAGGAAGGAGTTTAGAGCAGATCAAATAAAAAAAAAAATCTTTATTTCTATTCTATTCTGTGGATAAAAGGTGAAAGATCAATTTATTCAAGAAACTTTCCTCACATTACATCTGTTCCATCTTAAAATAATTTCCATCAAAACAAATTGCCAAATGCTTTTGAGAAAATGAGTCTTTAAAATTTAACTTGTGATGTATGTGAAGTAGGGTTGGTACAACTCTGTCATTTCAGAACCTACATGCAAAAGCATGAATACGGAAACAGAACTAGTAGATTGATTTCACGGTTGGCAAGTTTTAATTCTCTTCCATTTAACAGCATGGTTGGGGTTAGCTAATAATGATTCCACTTATTCAATATAGATTTATTAAGCTTTGATCAGAAAACACCACAGATTTATCATTTGATAAGACTAATTTTGATACAGAAAAACTGGCAGAAAAATAAATTTTATCTGAAGATAGAATTCTTTTTTAAACAGGGCTATTTAATCCTAGGCAGTTTGAGTTATCCTAATTGTCCATTTTATTTAGACTATGTTATACTAACCTAATTCAAAATGATTCAGTTTGAGCTGGAAAGATGGCTAAACAGTTAAGACCTTCACTGCATCTATAGGTGCCCCAATTTCAGTTCCCAGAACCTATGTAAAGTAGCTCACCACACTGAAACTCCAACTCTAGGGGCTCCAAAGCCCTTTCCTCACAGCCTCAATTACCTGCATCCACATCCACATCCACACCCACATCCCATAAATAATTAAAAATAAAAACAAATCTCCAAGATATTTTAGGTAATGTCCTAAATCTTCATTTAAACTAGTATGATTTCTTAACCTTGGCAACAGGGTTTGGATGACGTCTTCAAAGCCTTCAACAAACTTTCTACAGTACCAGAAGGGAGAATTTGCCATTGTAACCATTATTTCTCTCAGAGGGCACACAACTTAGTGTTTTACAGTAATGGGTGACTTGGCTAAGGAGGAATTTTACATCAGTCTCTGGGCCATAGACTCCAAACAGCCTACTTGAGAGCATATGTCATTTCCTTGTGATTTTTATACGGAAAAATCTCATATTAGTCACTCAGGGTTAAAGTGCATAAATGGCCAGTGACTCGTGTATTATGAAGAAGTACAGGCTATCTCCTGCCCCAAGCAGTGAACAACATATGTCCATGCTTACATTTATCTTATCAGATTTCAAACACCCAACTTTGAAACTAACTTAACTACAAAGTCATGATTAAAGAGATAATGAAAAGAGACTGTTGGAATTAGAAGCTCATTATTTATCCAAACATGAGATAAAATGACTGAGATATTATTATATAAACTGGTGTATATTGTAAAGACAGCAAAGACACCAAAAGCTGAAAACAAGAATAGTCAATACTTACAATCCCAGAGTCATGTCTTGGTTTTACTTTATAGAGTGATTTTCCTTTCTTCTGCCTACACACTTCCTCAGCTTCTTTGACTCTGAGTAGGGAAGAAGACAACCAATTTAAACAGGAGCCCACAATGACCACAGAGACCTACTTTACAACAGGGAGGCAAGCTTCAACTCATTAAAGATTTGAATTACTGGGAAACACACACAGGAATGTCTCCTCACATTTGATTTTTAAATAAAAACTGCTAGATAGAGCAGGTCACTCATGTGAGGATGAGGACCCTATGATGGGCTGTATTATATAAATACAAAATGATCAATAATTGCATAATTAAGAACGATCGTGCAAGAATTCCCATGAAGCTTTAAAATGACTTCAGGTTCATTTTCTCTCTACCAAATACTTACATATAAAAGACATTTGGAAGGAAACTTCTGGGCAGTTCCAACAACTAAACTTCATTAAGCATGGAAGCAATTATTATTCACTTGATGATAAAAACAAAACAAACAAACAAAAAACTGTTACCCTTTCTCATTGTTTAATGAGACAGGGTGTCACAGGGAATTTAAGTTATCTGTAATCTTGCTGTAGCCTCCTAAATGCTGGGATTATGAGGATGCATCAACATTCAAAGTAACATTTTTAACATGTTTAAGATTTCTTCTGTGTGTATACATTCCAAGGAAAATGCACTGTGTCCATGAGAAGCACTATCTAGAATAAAGTGCTGTTAAAGATGAATTTTGCCATAGAACACTGGCAATGTCAATGTCTTTCACCTTTTATCTAGGGATGCCTTTAAATAATAAAAGGACAGCATTACCAAATTATTATATTACGATTACAAGGCTAACGACTATTTTGCTAAACCATTTTTTTACACATTACAATATATTACAAAAAGTCACAACTGATTTTTATTAAAGAAATCACAATAAACATGGAAGGTAGGACTCCATTAATAAAAGAGTGACAAAACAAAAAAGAACATGATCTATCAGATTCATTTATTTCTTACTCTTATGTTTTATTCCTTAAGAATAAAATTAATTGAAGCATGAAGTGTGTTGGGAGAAACTGAACAGACCATGGCTTGGCCTTAAGAAAATATACCTTATGTTGCTTACATTTATTGAAAGAAACAAATCCTGAATATGTTTCTTGTGCCCCGTAGCAAGCGATCCAGCTACAGAATTTATCTCCTGTGTAACTGATTTAACTTTCCTTAAATGATAGAATGACCTACTGATCCAGGCTGGCGTCTCAAGCCTTATGTGAAAGTAATTCCTTTTAGATACAAAATGCTTCTCATTGGGTAGGCAGTAATTCCAGAAACTTGTGACAGTTTAGACACTGCATTGTTACCACGTTTATTACTACCCTACCAAGCCATAAATTCCCTTTAATCCCTCCCTAAACATCTGAAGACAAAAACATTTTCTCTATAACAAACCAAGGATTTCAGAATCACCATCTTCCTCTGAAATAGCTGCCAGTAAATTTAAGCTTGAAGTATTTGGATAGGGAATTAAGGGAACTTTTTTTTTTTCCCTTTTTTTTTTTTAAACACTTAGTCAAAATCCAGTAGATCCCCTTTTAAATATGCTTGGAGTTCTTTAAAACATTTCATAACACACACACACACACACACACACACACACACACACACACACACACTGTATTTTACAATTATTTCATTCCCCAAAGCATTGTGGTACTTCGCTCTGCTCTATTTCCAGCAGTCTCAGAACTATCTTGGTTAGGATCACAGGAAGCTGATTTTAATACAAACATATTTAATTTTACATGAAAGAAAGCCCAGTCATTCCTTATGGTAGAGCCCATGTTGACTGGAGAGAGTGTGTATCAAGGTGACGTCATGGGATCTTTTAGAGCTCATGTGTTCATTTGACAAACATTTATGGAGCAGCAACTCCAGATCAGGTCCTGGCGCAGCTCAGGTTTACAAAGACAATTCAACTTAACATCCATAGGCCAGAGGCATACAAGAGCAAAGTAATGACAGGGTGTACTATGGGCATGGACGGCCCCCTGACTTTGTATAAGGTCCCAGAGAAGGCTTCTGCAATTGGTATTCAGGGTTTATACAAACAATTCATGAGTATCTTGACGGTTGAGTCTTATTTTCAAACAATTAAAACAGCTCAATTGTCTATATTTTTGGAAAGAGAATTTGTTATCAAGGGTGATAGAAAAATAAATGCAATCCATAAAGTTACATACACAATGGTGGAGGAAGAGTCAATAATGCTGCACTTCAGAAAAATGAGTATCTGTTCTTCTCCTGTCATGGGGTCCCTATGAGGCAAAAGTTCTAGATGCTTTTTGACCTATGCTTGAGTGCCTGTGTGTCCATCATCTTATCTTAGGCTCCTTGACAGATTAATTACATTAATCTGTACATTAATGAATTAGGGAGCTGGAGAATTGAGCATTAGAAGTGCTGTCGTACTTTGCATTTGCTTCACGGAGGATTTACTTTAATGCATGTCTCCAGGTTCACCTATATTTTGGGGCCCAGTCCCTGTGGTCCAAAGGCAGCACATGGAATAATATGACACAGGTATCCTAGCACAGCCCTTTAAGAAACAGTGCTCTCTAACTAGGTTTGGAAAACTCTGCCTCCCAAGTCCTCTCCTTCAACAGAGTGCCACTAAACATGTTCACATCCTTTCTCAGTGATTTCTGACACAGCTGAACCGAGTAACTACTGCTCATTCTAAATGCCAACTGCATTTCAATATAAATCCCATTGAAATACTTTCCCTTCACACTAGAGACTGGAAAAATGAATGTGTCCCTGAAGCCCAGCTTTACTGCCAGGATTAGCAAGGAAAAAAAGAAAAAATAAAAAAAGAAAGAAAGAAAGAAAGAAAGACAGGAATGGAGGAAAGGAGGGTGAAAGGATGGAAGGAAGGAGGGAGGGAGGGATGACTTGGGGTTGTGCCTCAGTTGGCAGTGTGCTGGCCTAGCATGCATAAAGCCCAGGGTCTGTCTGATCCTCACCCAGCATAGAGGTACATACTTAAAATCTCAGCACATGGGAAGGAAAGACAGAAGGATCAAAAGTCCAAGGTCATTCTAAACTGCATGTTTAGTCAACTTGTGATTCATGACAGTTGTGTCATAAGAAGTTATAAACAAAAGAATTTAAAGGAGGGAGAGAAAAGAAAGGAGAGAAAGCAAAGAAAGTGAGACAGAAATGAAGACAGGGAAGGAAAAGTTGGTAAGGAGCCCTATATATCAGCATCTTCCCCATTGAGCTATCAGGGAAGATTTTACCTGTCATTTTAGGTCTAGTGTGTAAGTGCTAGGGGCTTTTAATGTCTACCCTCTTCCTGGCTCTCTCCCCTCACTCAGTGAAGCCAAAAATTTCCAAAGTGATTAAGGAATAAAGATGCTAAGAAGAAACAAGGTGTCAAGAAATAAATTAAAAACATCAACTTCAACATTATACTAATTGGGAACCAGAAACGAAATAAAAGGAGACAGTATTCGGCTTACAAAAGGCAGCCACCAAGAACAGAGTAGATGCTCTGAGAGGAAAAACTGACTGGGGAAAGGCAGTATTCCATTGCTTTCAAACGTTGTCTTCAGTGGAGTTCAAACTTCAGGTACCTCTATTGAAGTGGAATAACCGTTTGGGGGGGCCTATGAATGTTCTGGAGAAGCACAAACAGCTCCATGCATAATTAATTAAGATCTACTCTTTTAAACATGGTTACATTCAAAGAAATGGGAATGTGAACTGTCACATTTGTTAATTGAGACTTCATTCTCTTAATGAATTAAAAAGGAAATTAAAGATGTTAGGATGGCATCCATGACTGACAGGCTAATTTTAACCCATCATGACACCCCATCATCAGTGTAGACAGTAGAGAGCAAATGTATGCAGATCTAAACGCAGGACACAGGATTATAAAAAGAAATTCCTCATTCATCATTTTTAGTGATTTCTGAAAAAAAAAAAAAAGAAGAAGAAGCAGAGACCAGAAAACAGGAAATAGGGCATTATCTTTTAAGAGGAAGAGGGGATATTAGATGGTAGATAATGGCTGTAAAATTTAATGTTAATATTTCTCTGTAATTGTTGCCTATGAAGCTTCAGAAACAAAGGAAACTATGCATCTCTACATAGATGTCCAAAGTTCATACTTATACCTCCAAAAGAGGAACAGGAGTTGTCACAGAAGGGCTGGTGTTCTCTATCATTTAAGAGAATAGTTGATTACAGTTAGTGACCAAAATATACATGGAATCATGTTGGCAAAGAGGAGCTGACCAATATGAGTAAAATGAGTTTTGCTAATTTTTTTTCTTAAAGCAGAAGAGATAGGAGAGCTAGGGGGAGAGAGAGAGAAAGAGAGAGAGAGAGAGAGGCAGACAGAGACAGAGAAAGAATGAGTGAGATATACCCATTGGCATCCTATATTTAGCACTAGTCACATCATTGTGGCAACATACCCTGTTAGAGTCACCTTCCAGAAGCCTCCTAAGGTACACAAGGTACTCAGGCTTTCTATACTGTGCCTAATTGTGTACATATTAGATATTTTCTGTTTCTTCCTAGGATGGCAACTCTAATCTCTCCTCAGCCTACCTCAGGCTTTACCACTTGTACCTTTTTCTTTTAGCAGAGACAACCAGACAACTAAGCTGGCTCAAATGGCAACCCCAATTCATCATGAATCTTAGCACCAGGTAAAAGAATGGTATTCCTGGATCTACAGGAAACCTGTCTAGCTCCTCCCTATCTCCTACTCCCACAAACAAGGCATATAATAAGTATGTCTGAGAGGGCGAGGGAGCCAGAAGGCTGACTTGTAGATGGCATCAGAACTCTTGTTTTGAAAAGGAAAATGTGAGGCATTGCAAACATAGATGGTGTTGTGTCATGCAAACTGCTTATTCATGGTAAACCCTAAACCCAAGTTCATTAAGGTAAAGATAGGAGGAGATAAGATTATACTTTGTGTTTGCACGCATGTCTATGATTGGTCTATGCATGTGCTTGTGTGGCTGTGTGAATGCATGAGTGCTGATATCATGCATTGTGTG